TCGTCTGCGAAGAGCCCTGATGATTGACGTTCGCGCGCTTCTGCCGCGGCGTGGGCAAGCTTAGCTGCACCTCTCTTCTGCAGTGAACTCTCCAAATTCTAACTGAACACAGTATGCGTAAATTATTAACTTTTAAAACTAGTAACCTTGAATATAGTTTCAGAATTCTTCAATGATGTTTTGTCACTATAATAAAATATTTTTCATTGAACTTTCTCCTTTGTCGGAATGATAATACATTAGGTTGTGCCACAGCGCCACGACACGTTAGCCAACGTTCGTGAAATGAAATCGAATCATTTCTGCATGTTAATCACTGGGCCACGCCTCCAGGTATGATCCATGTGGTATGACATCAGTGGCTGTCAAAAAAACCGGTCACATGACTGAACGCTCTGTACCGATATTATAATTAAAATAACAGATTTGGTTTTATAATAACAGAAAAGTGCAATTACTATAATAACATTGAATACAACAGAAAATATTCAGTGAAAATAACAGATTCGCTTTTTCTCGGTGAACACTTCGCATGAAACAAATATCATGCATTATTTACCATATATCACGCATTATAATTGAAAAACATACTTACAAAATACAATATAAAAAGTTCTACATCATCCGATTGCCGAGATCTCTATGGCAATAGTGCCGTAGTGATCACTGAGCAGAAGTTTTTTCTGCATTTCGCCGAATAGTTCTTTTTTTTTGTGATCGTTTTTGTTTAGTTCATTTTTAATACATTTTGATAACCTCTGTAAAGATTTAGGCTTCTTTATAAACAATTGCAAACAGTAATTAACTCTGGATCCATTTAATAAAAAATATTAAATATTTATAACAAAATTGTGTTAGTAATTCTGTGGTTAGCCGGTAAAATGTAGTTTTAAGAAATTTGTAATTTTGTTAATAAAATATGATGTTGGTGCGAAACGTTGGCTAATTTTACAGACAATTTGGAGAGTAATTAATTTAAACAAATTATTATTAAATCAATAGGTGACTTTTGTAGGCACTTGTGAAGCTTTTTTTAAATTTCGCCGATTAGTTGTTTTTCTATGGTTTTTATTTGATTAGTACATGGTACTTTGATATCTTCTGTGAAGATTTAGGCGTCTTTATCAACAATTACAATCGGTAATTAATTTTGGAGCCATTTAATCAATAAATATTAAGTATTTGTTAGAAAACTGTTAGTAATCGTGTGGTCGCCAGTAAAAAGTAATTTAAGATATTTTTAAGATTTAAGAGTGTTGGTAGGAAATTTTGGCTAATTTTAAAAATATTTGGGCAGAATAAATAATTTAAACTCATTATTACTAAATCAATGGGTGTCTTGTGTAGGAACTTGTGAAGTTATTTCTTAATTTCGCCGGTTAGTTCGTTTTCTATATTTTTTTGTTTTGTTTTGTACATGGTACTTTGATAGCCTCACTGAAGGTTTAGCTATCTTTATAAAAAATTGCAAGCAGTAATTAATTCTTGAGTCATTTAATAAATAAATATAACATATTTGTAATAAAATGATATTAATAATTATGTGGTTCGCCGGTAAAATGTAATTTTATGAAAATTTTTAATTTTGTGTATGAAATGCGACGTAAGTGCGTTGGCTGATTTCAAGAACAACTGGGCGGTGTAATTAATTTAAACAAATTATTAATAAATCAAATTATGCCTAGTATAGGAACTTGTGTTATTAGAAGTTAATTTTGCATTTCGTCGATTAGTTCGTAAAATTTAATTTTAAGAGTTTTTTAAATTTTGTGGCTGAAATGCGATGTTGGTGCAAAAACGTTGACTGATGTAAAAAAAAAACTTTCCAGAGTAATTAGTTTAAATAAATTATTTTTAAATTAATGGGTTCCTTGTGTAGGAGCTAGTGAAGTTATATCTGGATTTCGCCGGTTAGTTTTTTATGACTTTTTGTTATTTACACGTTTAGTACATTTTGATAACTTCTTTAAATATTTAGGCTTTTTTATAAACAATTGTAAACAGTAATTAATTTTGGAGCATTTAATCAATAAGTGTTTAGTATTTTTAACGAAATTTTGTTTGTAATTCTGTGGTTCGCAATTAAAATTTTATTTTAAGAAATTTTTAATTTTGTGAGTGAAATGCGATATTGGTGCGAAACTTCGGCTCATTTTAAAAAGTGGGCGAAGTAATTAATTTAAACAAATTATTCATAAATCAGTGAATGTCTCGTGTAGTAACTTGTAAAGTAATTTCTGAATTTCGCCGGTTAGTTCTTTTTGTTTTATTCATTCTGTAAAGGTTTCGGCTTATTTATCAACAATTGCAAGCAGGAATTAATTCTGGAGTCGTTTAGTCAATAAATATAAGGCATTTGTAACAAAATTTATTTAGTAATTCTTTGGTCCGCCGATTAAATTTAATTCTAAGAATTTTTAAAATTACGCAATAGAAATATGACTTTGGTGCCTTTTTTAAACAGTTGCTTGTCGGACTTAATTCTGGTGTATTGTAAAAATATATACTGAATTTACGTGTAGTTAGCATACGGAAATCTTTGTGTGCAGGTAAGGAAGCATTTTGCGATTTCTTCCATAAATTGTTTTTGTAGAAAATTCTGAATTTTTTAAACAATTACGTTGTATAATGATAGTAAAATGGAGTAGTTAAATAGTAATTAATACTTTCTTGTTAAATTTTTCTGACAATTTCTGCTGTATTTGGTTTCGTGGCTAGCTAGCTTCAATTTGAAGCTACCTGACCCTCGGTTTTTTAGAAAAGGGCTGGCGTAGTTAATTTAAAATTATTATAATTAATGGGTAATTAATTAGTATTAAGCGATGGCATGTACCCGCTATGGGTGGCTAGCCAGCTTCAGAGAGGTGCGTGGTTCCATGATGGCCGATTCGAATATTTTCACTTAGTCACTCGGTGACTTTTTTCAATCCGTTTTTGGCAGTGTTTCTATCCTGTTTTTGAAACTTTGAAGCGTCCTTAAAAATCAAGTCATCGCCATTCTGGGGCAGACTGTCGACGATTCATCAGTTTGTCAGTATTTTTGTGAACACTGTCCGAGATATGGAAAATGTATTTAGTTTCCTTTGAAATTAATGTCCTTCGTTGATTTGACCGAACTTTAGTCTTTGCTGATTCGAAACTGATCTTTTAATTTTTAGTTGCCTTAAAATTGATCCTTAATTTTTTTGCTGAAATGGCGTAAAGTGCTTCGGGAAATATTTTTTTTCGATTTACATTACATCTAAATTTTTGAAATTTACAAAATTTTATTTTTTTAGTCCTTGTCCTACACTTTCAGTTTTAACTCTTAAAAGTTAATTAATTCTTTATCAATCTCTTCAATTATTCATTTAATCTCTTCATTATTAGATGATAAAGCCTTTTCGTGTATTGGTAGACATGTTAGCAGATTTAGAGTAATTTTGAGGTAAATTGTGACAATTTTCCAGAAACACGAAATGATTTTGTAAAAACGGCTCCTTGTTTTCTTTAGAATTTTTGTAGAGATTAATTTTTTGAATCTATTCAAATATCAACCTTTGAATTCTATTCCATCTGTGCGATTTTTTTATTAAAACTTTTGAATGTTCAAAACATAAAAATGAACATTTTATATTGCGGAGTCTGGAACTCTTCTTTCCTACAAGCGAGCCTGTCTAATGTTTAGGACAATAAACTGGAATATCTACGCAATGGAGGTAAAATTCCATTGGGGGGCAAATTTTTTTGGTGGCTGGGAACCCTACATACGCATGTGATAGGTCAGTGAGACGATCTCGATGTGATTTCACCCATCCTCTGGTCGTAACGGAATCTTGCTTTATTTCTGTTACCTAATAGACTATATACACTATGCGATCAAAAATAGCCGGACTCGTAGCTGAAAATGACTTGCTTAATGCTAGAATTCAATAGGGCGTTGGCCTTGAAGACAGCTTCTACTCTCGCAGGCGTACTTGCAATCAGGTGCTGGAAGATTTCTTGGGGAATGGTAGTCCATTCTACACGAAGTGCTGCATTGAGGAGAGGTATCGATGTAGGTCGGTGAGGCCTGACAGGAAGTCGGCGTTCCAAAACATCCCAAAGGTGTTCGATATATTTTCTGCTTAATTGCATTCCCTTCGTAATGTTTGTATGGATGTAGCCTCTTAATTCATTCACATCGGTTACCATTGTACTTATGTATTAGCATATTAATGAATATAAATTAATCCTCTCTCTTCAATTAGGCAATTTGTACTATTTAAACATTATTATTATTATTATTATTATTATTATTATTGTTGTTGTTGTTGTTGTTGTTATTAATACACTGGTTTCCTTTAATGTGTACCTCGTGTTGGCTCATTGAAAACTGTGTAGTGAGCAGAATTTCTGTTAGGGAAAGAAAGAATTATCTATTGCCATTTAATTTTGAAGTCAAGAACCCGTGCTTAACTGCGCGAGCCCCGTGTGTTAAACGTAACTATCCTACAGATAATAGGTTAAAAAATTGTAGCAACTGTAATGTGTTTCCGATATTTTTGGGACCTTTGCAGAATCAGGAATGAGGCGCACTTTCTCATTGGCAGATCCTTACGTTTACTAAGAAAGCTTGTTTACGCTTCCCTGATGACATTTCACAGAATATGACAATAGTAATGTTCAATGTTTTAGTACGATGCCAGAAATCTTCCAGAAACTTCTTAGCGTTTCATTGTTTAGCATCCAGTCTTATTAAAGCCCTAGTTTCAATATGCTACACTACGCATTTAACAATTTCAAAAAATAAGAAACTAAGAGGATGCAGTTGTGAGAAAAGCAGTTCACGTGCTTCCTCGATGAGTTCAGTGGAGGTTAAGTGCCTAGGGACCCCCATGCGTAGCCGTTGCGTGGCGAGTGGGGCCTCCAAGGCGACCGAGGCCCAATTGATCTCAAGCTTAAGCTTAAGCTTAGTAAGAATTGTAGTTTATCGTGTTTATTTTCATCATTGTCTTCAATAATATGTATAATTTTTGTAGGTGGATTCAGGCTACAAACCCTGAAAACATAATGAGAGAAAAACTACATGACGTGGAAGAAAACTGCAGTGGTGAACTTATGAAGATGGTTTCATCCAAAGTTAGCAGCCAGGAGTGGAAATTCACCCTCAGAACATGTCGTCTTTTTAGAGCAGTTGCTCTGTTACAAGATACTCACCGAAATCATTTCTTTCTGAAGTAAGTTGAAATGGTGGTATGTGGAAAAAGTGGTCCTCGAAATAAATGTTAATTGTGGCGAACACATTTACCTAATAGTTTTAGTGAAGCCACATGATTTTACTTGCATAGTCAAACTAAAAATTGGTTAAATAATGTCCGATTGAAATTTCTGGGCTCCCGATTTTTAACAGAGGGGTACCGTTTTCCATTTGGGAGCTTCAATTTTTGAAATTAAGATACCGAGTGGATAACGGTGCCCCCGCTCCTAATTCATCAGGTGCGAAGAAATTAAAATCGAAGATTAGCAACAATTTTTTTGTGCTTATGTGCTATATTTCCTCCCTATACTATAGTAAGAGGAGGGAAAGTATTGAAATCAACTCAACAATGCGATCTCGAATTTTCGGTTGCAAAATCAGTGTTTAAGGTTCTTTTGAGTTGAAACATGAGATTTATTTATTAGTGCTGTTATAAAGATGGTTAAGATCGGTATCATTGTATTCACAAGATAATTTGCTAAGCTCTTTGAATTGTGGATGCTAAAGAACATGTGATTGAATGCAATTTATTATCTTTATAACCACTTTCGTAATGTTATTCATAGATAACAATCGATCTCACAAATTTCGAGACATTAGACTTTTAACTCTTAAATGGGTGAACGGAATACACAATAACGTAAAACGTGGGAAAATAATATTGCTTTGTTTGGTGCAACTTTGTTAACGGAAACATGTATGTAATATAAAATTACCCGGAGGGGCACATGCGCCCCGCAGGTTGCCAGGCCTGCAGTAGACAATGTATTTTATGTTGCATGTTCATTGCTAGGTGGTCACAAGTCGAGGAAAAGATATATTCGAAAACACTTCTGGCAGCGCTGAACACTATTTGCGAGAATGATGCGGATTATGCGAATTTTAGTGCCACCACTAGCGCATATTACTCTCCCGTATAAGCTGCCCGAAGGCTTTCCAGGGGTGTCCAACTTGCACGGCCTCGAGAGCCACAGCCGAAACCTTTAATACGGTCGCGGGCCGTATTTTCGTTTCATAGACTCCGCAAATGATTCACCCGCAATGTTGTGTGTGTGTTTATGTGTGTGTGTATATGTCTCGGGTGGGGGGTGGGGGGGGGGAACCATGCGTGATATCAGGCCGTACCATGCGTAACGCAGTGAAACACTTTGGGAGGATTTTGTATTTCTAAATTTACTAGAAAAAAATCATTAAATCTAAATTTAACCTATTTTTACATTAAAGGGTTGTTGTCCGTGGCAGGGCACGTGTGCTAGGCATGCAATGTTCTCGCCTGACGTGGGTGCATGGGACTTTCACAATCTTTCGCGGGCCACAGTAAATGGCACCGCGGTCCGCCTTGTTGGCACCTGGTCTATTCGGAAGCTGCGCGTGGCATTATGACTATAGAAAGTCTATCCTACTCCTTGCCACTTTGGGAAGAACCGTCAGAGTAGATGAAATGGGAGCTAAATTCGTTGATTTTCAACTACTGGAATTACTTAAGAAATTGTACTGTGTTTAGATTGTGTGCTGTACTTGTGTACTAGATGTTGTACTGTGTTGTGATTTAGAGAGGTTAGACAATGAAATGTCTACTGAGGTCCAGAGAAAATTCTTCGGGGAAACAAGACGTTGCGGGTTTTCACAGGAATGGGCAGTTTTAACATTTATCTTTTCCAAAAGTGAGTAGAAATTAATACCCAGGGGATGGTGTCTAGCTATATACGAGTATGTATGCGAAAATTTGGGTGAAGGATTGCTTGAAGGAAGGAAGGAGGGAAGGAGGGAGGGAGGAAGGGAGGAAGGAAGGAAGGAAGGAAAGGAGGAGAGGAGGGGAGAGGAGGGAGGAGGGAGGGAGGGAGGAAGAGAAGAAGGAAGGAAAGGAAGGAGGGAGGGAGGAAGGAGGAGGAAGGAGGAGGGAAGGAGGAGGGAGGGGAGGGAGGAAGGGAAGGGAGGGAGGAGAAGGCAGAGGAAGGCAAGCAAGGAGGGAAGGAAAGGAGCAGCGAAGGAAAGGAGGGAAAGTAGGGAGGCAGGGAAGTGAGGGAAGTAGAGAGGAGGAAGGGAGGAAGGAGGGAAGTAGGGAGGAAGGGAGAGAGAAGGGAGGAGGACGGAAGGAGGGAGAAGCGGAGGAGGGAGGAAGGGAAGGAGGGCGAGGGAAGGAAGGAGGGAGGAGGCGGGAGGGAGGAAGGAGGAGGAGGAGGGAAGGAGAGGGAGGAGGAGAGAGGGAGGAAGGAGAAGAGGGAGGAAGGAGAGAGAGGGAGGGAAGGAGAGAGAGGAAGGAGAGGGGTAAGGAGAGAGGGAGGGAAGGGAGAGGAGGCGAAGGAGGAGAGGGAGGGAGGAAGGAGAGAGGGAAGAGAGAGAGGGAGAGAGGGGAGGGAGAGAGGAAGGGAGGGAGGGAGGGAAGAGGGAGGAGAGGAGGGAGGGAGGGAAGGAAGGAAAGGGAAGGAATCCATAGTTGACAATTTCACACGAAATGAGAAGATCAAAATATCTCCTTTGCTCACTGGGGAGTTTAACAGAAAAGCTGCAAACATTGAAATGGGCCCAGCACTCATCCTCTTCCTCCCCTCTCTTGTACCCCTTTTTCTCTTGTTCAGATACCAAATTGGTATTAGCAAAATACTGGTTTACTTGTAAAACCTAGTAAGTCTGAATTTCAATAATTAATGATTGGGAGTTTTTGTAGTTTTTCCCATTTGAATAGAATGATCAAAACATTGTAGGTCTCTGTTGCTAGCAATGTTATGTAGAAGCACATGAAAACTTACTTTTGTGTTGTTGTTGTTGCAATGAATGCAGAAATAAGTTTTTTATAGTATTTCCTGAGAAACTATTTATAGAGACTAATTGTTAGAAGTAAGCTATTGGTTAACTTATTATGTTAAATCACTTCATAGAAACATTTTGCTATTAATGAGAAACTATTTATGAGAATATTTGAATGAGGTACATACTAAATTTTAATGATTTTTTGCTTTAATTCAGGCGTTTCTCTATCTTCACACATATGTACTTACACTTATATTGTGTTGCTTTCTCTGCAATCTTGCATGTCAGTTTAAATTATTCTTTCATTATGATCCCAAATATTCTTTTGTAATGCTTTTGATTTAAATTTTCTTCAAAGTGTTTTGTGAAGAGTGAAAGCAAGATATACCATATTATATGTAACTGTTCAAAGCTGAATTATGTGAATGGCAAGGGGAAGTAGTGATGGATTTGATGTAAAGGAAGAATTCTTCCATGAAATTGGAAGAGGCAGATATTAACCGACATAATTTTAATAAATATATAGTATTTATTAAACTGAGTAAAATATTTAACTACCAGTAGATGTTTTAAATTACTGTTTTACATTGTACACTACTTTACTGATTTGTTATTTTAATTTATTTTCCTCAGGAGGATATCAAGTCATGATATGGACGGAAAAACCTTATTTATATGGGAACCTACTAATGCTAATGAGACTCAAGAATGGGATGCAACAAATTTTCCTCTACTTCTTGGTGGCAGTGCTCGTGATCAGTGTGATTCACTAAGTGTTTTGGAACATACAGTGGAAGTTTCATTTACTACAGATATTTACGGAACATTCAGGCAGTCTGTAGTATTTGATTTTGGTAGTGAGCCGGTTTTAGTTCATCATTTGTGTGTTGATGTAGTGCCAGTGACTGATGTTGATCGTATCAAAGAGTTACATAAAGAATACGTGTTATCTGGCTCAGAAAGATGGGACAAACTGAACACTCACATTGTAAAATATACGTCAAGCTACTCTCCGGTTGTATCTTTATTGAACTATGTAAATGAAGAGCGTGAACTGGACTTATTGAATGCTTATCCTACTCCACAAGCTGACACATTCACCTTGACTCAATCCACTGTTATTGAGAAAAAGTTGACACGTAACAATTACAGGGCTCGGATGCATGAATTGCTTTATGTGGAAGAATTGGCCCAATATGATCAGGTATGTACAATGCTTATAAATGTTCAAAATTGAAAATTTTAACTCATCTTTCTAGTAATACATTGCTTTTGTGGCATTATGAATGATGTATAAAATAATTATTTTTTTTATGATTGAGATTGAGGTAAAAAAGGAATATATTTGTGGAAAGAACAATCATTTCACTCACATAATATATACATTTTTTCTACAATCATATAAAAATTCTATGAAGCCATGAAGACCAGAGGTGTAACTAATCACGAGTTGTAATAAGCTCTGTGCACATTCATTGTTGAATGGAAACTGAGTGGAAGTAAAGAGTATTTGTGTGTGGCAGTGAAGTAGTTTGATATGGTGATGTTATGTTTTTCAGATGTCTGAATAGAAGACTAATTTCGTGCCAACTTAGCAGTAAATACCTGGTGAATGGCTCGTTTTTATACGATTGTTGAAAAAGTAAATTTGGTCTAGTGTGGTTCTTGTATTATCATTCTCTATATGCTTCCACCACTTTATTGGCAGTTTATCATATCCAAGGCGCCATTTTTGTTTTGTCATGCTAAGTGTTGTGTAACATATTTTTTCTTTCCATTACCAATGTTACACCATCTTTTCATTTCACTTTTGGCCGACCTGTTTTCTTTCAGCTTGCTGGCATTCAGTAATAAACCTTTTTAGGCAGTCTTTTTGAATCCAACCTTTGTAAGTGGCCATACCATAACAATCTTATCTTTTTAACATCATCACTTAAGCATCTTTCTATATTTAATTGCCTTTTTATCATCTCTGCATTTTTGTTTTAGTTCTGATATCCTTAGTCCAAAGAAGTGGGTTTACATCACCAACTACTAAATAAATGAGTCTTTTCAAGGTTAATTTCATATTCCCATTTTTCATATTCCTCTATGTTTTCTCATCATGTAGGAAGAATCATTTACATCTTCTGCAAGAATCACTTGATTGTCAGCAAACAATAAAGTATGAATATTTTCTTCCCATATCTTAATTCCCATTCTAGTTCATTTTTTTGAATATTTTCTCACGGCTTGTGTAATATATATTTAGAAGAGTGTTGGGGATACACAACAACCAAATATTTCAAGACAACATCCGAGACATGTTTCAAAAAATCAACAGGAAAATCTCCAGGACCTGGAGCATTTTTGTTCTGCATAGCCATTAGCGCTTCTCTTCTTTCATGAACAGTTGTATTTTGACATGAAATATTTACATAATCTAAGGAATAGTTGATACATTTAAAATTAGTCTGTATTTTTATTGAAAACATTTCCTAATATTTTTTCCATTCAACTTCAGTTTTCTGGGAATATGTTAATTACTCTATATTATCTTTTTTTAAAATATAAATTGTTTTCGAAGCTGCCTTTTTGAACCACCAACCAATTGATCTATTTCACAGAATTTCCTTGCCCAAAGTGCATCTTAAAATTTGGCTTCGGTACATCCTGTTTAACAATTTAACAGTATTTTCTGTAAATATTACTATCTAAAGAGTGTTTACAATTCAACCGTTTTTCATACGCCGAGAGAGAGAGAGAGAGAGAGAGAGAGATCGAGCGAGCGAGCGAGAGAGAGAGAGATCGAGCGAGCGAGCGAGAGGGTGATCGAGCGATAGAGAGCGCGATTGTATAGAACGCTCATTCGCTCAAGCCTGGATTACGGTAGTGTAGTTTTGGGATCAGTTTTTTTTTTAGCATTTTGCCTTGCAATTATCCGTAGTATAAACAATGATATCCACATTTCCACTAGCGCCTATCGCATCAGTTCCAAGCACCTCTTGACAGTGGCAAAACGTTTTTGTGCTGTTTCATGGGAAGTGGCGAATGTGAGCAAGAATTAAAAGGTGTATTATTCCATAGACACCATAGGATTCTACAAATGACCATACAACAAGGAAATTTCCTGGTCGGTGGTCGAATATTCAGTAGAAAATGCTTGCACCGAATCGTCTCTGACGCAATATCTTATCTCCCCAATCATAACTATTTGTTATTTGTTCTTTCACGTTGGCTGGATTGCCTCTGCCTATAGCACAGTGGCGTTCCACTTTAAAGCGACCTTAGACAGGGTGCGAGTTAACGCCTTTGGGCCGCACGGTGCGACCTATTGTCAAAAACGAGGCCAAATCCTCAAGTGACTTCGAATTGTATTACCAAGTTCTGCTGTATTTTAATTCACCATCAAGAAACATTACAATATTCAATACAAAATTACGCGATTTAAAGAGGGATTTTGGAATGACATACTTATCTGGATATATTGCAAAAAGCAAAATTATCACACAGTAGTAAAACAGAGGAAATCCTTAAAGATTAATAAAATGCCTAGTGCTGCTGGACATCACTAGAACAAATTCTCTATTTTTAATACTTTAGTTGTAGAAAGACGCCGAAAAATTTCGAACTTTTACAATTTTCGAAAAAATTGGGTTTTTAACAAACATGAGACCTGCATCATTCTCTTAAACGTCCTTCACACAAATTAAAAAAACATCAAAATTGATGTAGCTTGTTTTTGAAAATGCACCATGGGCTTCATGTAAAGTTCCTCCTAAGTTAAAAATCAAATTCATGAGGCTGCAATATCAGCCAGATCGATTGTGGAATATCAGTTTTGGAGAAAGTCGGTTTAGTCGCTAGCCTTGTTCACAGACGGACAGACAGAAAGTCGTTTTGCCGTCATTCGATGTTTCGGTATCAGGAACCCTCAAAACGTGGATTGTTGCTACACTACGTGTTAAGAGGATTTTTTTGTAAATTTAGCAACTAGATTTATCCATCTTGTCGTTACCAGGGCACTGCAATAAGAGTTTTTCTGCCGAAAATTTACCGTATTTTCGCGCAGCATTACATAACTTGCTGTCTACGCCGTAGCAAGAAAATGAAACGCATTTGCTAAGCAAAATTGAGGTGGGTACTAAATATAATATAATTCTAAAGATATTAATGCAATATCATATACATACGTTATTTAACAAATTTTAATTCGTGAAAAGTTTGTATTTACGAAATGAAATGGTTTTAATAGTGTTAAAAAATGTTTTATATACACTAGTACAATATTTTTAAATTTATTCGATGTTTCGTTTTAATAAAAGATAATCGATTAACCCGACATAGGTCGCGGTCGACATTGTAACGGGATTGGTTGTGAGTGAGCGTGGCTCTCAACAGATACGTTTCAAGCTGTCGCTCAATTACATGCTTTGATAATGCATTGATAGTTTCGTATTCTTTAAAAAATTCATACGTCAAATAATTTTCTGTCAAGTTTATATTTTCTTGTCAAAACAAATACGTGAACTTTTAAATAATTAATAAAGATATAACATTAATAGAAAAACAAACAACGTTCGTTCTTCAACCTTGAACGATTTTCTTGGACAATTTACTTAGAACTTTCACTTTTTTCTTCTTGCCAATTGTATTGTTGAGAGATTGTTACCGTATGCTCGCCACAAATAGATGCTGAACACTTGGCATAAAGATATGCCTTCCCGTTCTTCTTTCTGGAGCAGTACGAACACTCGTGCTTCTGTGTCTTGCCTGCTGTGTTGCGTCACGTGTTTGTTGTTTTATTTCCAAAACCTTCATTATTTTCAATTTAAGTTCACTGTGAATTCCTGGTGATAAATATCTCTCTTGTAAGTGTGATTTGGTCAGTTCAAAAGCGACGGTCTTCAGATACGTCCTTCGTGTCATATTATTAGAAGTGTTACAACGAAAAATAATTTGACTGTTGATGTCTGCAATATCCGACATCATAAAAAATATTCTTAGCGGCCACCTGCAACATACTCTTGACACAGTATACGAAGATTTTAGTTCGTCAGTGTCATCAACCCCACTTTTTGTCATGTAGAAGGTAATCACTTCCGATTTCATTATAACCCCAGACTCTTGATCAATGTCAGAATCATGCATACATAAATTAATATTATATTCCTGTTCGTTTTGGGTACGTACGAAACAAGCATAGAATGTTTGCCAAAGGCAAAAAAAACTGCTGCTGACTGTTCTGTTTCTAGTGTTTACTTTTTCCGCTGGAAGCTCTCGTGTTCTTTGAGTGGCGACCATAGCTAGATGCTTCTCCCGAAAAAGTTCATGCAGAAGGGTAACCGAAGAAAACCAGTTGTCGGCTGTCACATTTCAACAGCTATTTTGTACGGGATGAACTATCCGCCTTACGATACTGCTTGAATTGTTATCAAGAGTGACTGGTCCTTCTGGCTGCTTTCCTGTGTAGATTTCCATCTTCGCAGTATAAAACATCCTAGGATCTAGCAGCGCAAAAACTTTAATTCCGTCCTTCGAAGGTTTCTTCGGCATATATTGTCTGAAACATCATCTGCCGCAAAGCGACTCTAACATTTCATCAATGTGACATACTCTCCGACATTGTAGCTATCCTCGCATGTCTGAACAAATCCTTCGAATATCTCTGTGACTGGTGCTAATTTGGCCAATTATTTTCGCTCCTCCCTGGTACTGATGTCAAATCGCGGAGCACGGAGAAGCAAATAGAATTTATCTTTGTATATCTCATTACTAAGCGAAAATAGTCTGGTGCAGTTATGTTAGTAGCCCAATATCCTGAATATTTTGATGAGATGATTTTATCACTCCAGCTAAATATAGTAGCCCCATTAGTGTCTTTATCTCGTTTGTGTAATTCGCAATTTCTGCAAGTACTTGATTAAAAAAAAACCCTTGGTTGAAGCACTGTTTCTGCGTGTCTAATATAGGCCGTTACGCCAGGGGGATAGATGACGATGTTTTTCTTGCTCCTTCGCCTGTTTCGTGGAGACGAATGAACATTCTATACTGTGACATCCTTTCCCAAATAATGCGGACCACCACTGTAATTTCCATGTTCGTTCACGTGTTTCCAGGTATTCACGGTCACTGCGGCATCAGCGTCTTGTAGCCACCTTTTGAATATCATTTTCCATCATTCTGAATAGTTAAAAATCTGTATTCACTATAAGTCGCTCTACTCCGTACGTGAAGAATTATCACACGGATGGTCGCGGAGGAGCGCTGCGCTCAGTGACTCGGACACTAATGAATGAAAGCGCTTCATAATCCGGATGAGAGGACTCAGATTTCCGGTAAAGGTTTATTTTATCGACCAGGAAGGTCTTTCAGTAAGCTAGGCGAGAGCTCGGTTCATAAGCTTGCCTGTAACAAAATTTTAAAATCTCACGTTAGCACCGCGCTCACCCGCGAGCAACGACGGGTTAATTGGAACAAAAAAAAATAGAATAAATTTTTGCAGCAATCGACTTTGTGCAATCTCAAGCCTCTACCGACGTACTCCGACGTGGCGGGCGAGTTTTGCGAGGCACAGTTCGCCGGTTGTCGACGACCGCTTTAAGGCCGCATCGACATCTGGGTCATTAGCGACTACTATTAGATTTAACGTTATGGTTACTGTAAAAATGACATGACATGATGTGGTGATGACGAAGTGTGAAAGGACTTTGTGTGACAAAGTGTGAAAGTACTGACCGGACCGACCGGACGGGACTGACCGGACCGACCGGACGGGACTGACCGGACCGACCGGACGGGACTGACGGGACCGACCGGACGGGACTGACGGGACCGACCGGACGGGACTGACGGGACCGACCGGTCGGGACTGACGGGACCGACCGGACGGGACTGACGGGACCGACCGGACGGGACCGACCGGACGGGACGGACCGGACCGGACTGACACGACTGACCGGACCGACCGGACCGACCGGACTGACACGATTGGCCGGACCGGACGGACCAGTTCGGACCGAGGATTTGCTGTCAATTAATTTTTCGGTATCAAGGACCCAGAAAATATGGATTCTTACTGCACAACGTGTTAATAAAAGTAATTTGGTATATAAGTAAAATAAAGTTAAATAAAGTAATTTGGTATATTTCACAAGCCTTACCCACGTTTTAGTTACTGGGTCCCATCAAAAAGAGTTTTCGGTCGAAAATAGGCCCTTTTCCCGTGTACGATTACAATACTGCGGCGATGGTGTAAAGCGGCGGCGATGGTGTAACGGTTAGCGTACTGGATTGTTGTACCCAAGTTGGCGGGTTCAAACCCGATCGAATTTTTGGATTTTGGATTTGGATCGAACCGTGGATTTTAAGGGCGAAAAAATCCTTCGTACGCCTTCGGAGGGGAAGTAAAGCCGGCTGTCCCATGTTCGTAGATTTACTTGCATGTAAAAGATCCTCAAGCCTAAATGACGCCTCTGAGCTAAATTCAAATCGCCTGTTTCTCGCCCAAGACATACCTCCTTTCTTTCCTAGTTGGTGAAAGGAGCGTAGCTAAATTTGCGTGGTCAGACGGAAGAGCGGGCCTGATGGCCCGAGTCTCGCCACGTAAAATAAGGCAAATTCAATTCAATTCAATTCAATACTGTCTTCTTACGAAGTAAGGGCGGGAGAGCTATTAAAAAAACAACAGATTTTCGATGTTACTGGTCGTTCCGAAAAATCTTGTAAAAATCATGGTAGTAAACTGTATTGAGGATAACCAAAACTCAATAAAACTTTTTCATTCGCAATAAAACAAACCATATTTTTATTTTATATTTGAAATCTTATAATGAACCCCCTGAAAAAAAAAAACCTCACACAGACAACGATGAGTGATTTTCGTTTCAAAAAGATACATTTATTTAGAACCGAAAAAAAAGAAATGATTTTCAATCTTTACAAAGAGGTATTAACGACTTCAATGGGCAATTCATTTTCTTCAATTGGCAATTCTACAAAATAATTTCTTTTTCCTTACTAGTATTTTGTGTGATTGGAATTGTACTCCCCTTATCCAGGATAATGTTTGAGATTTGATATATTTTCGCCAATGAAATGTAAATATGTATCTGACGTATGGTGAAGTATAATCCACGCACGTTTTCTTGAGCAAACTTTTTTGAGTATCTATGTGTATTATGGTCAGCAAAGAATAAAATTTTCTTTAAAACTTGAGTTTTCATTAAGAGATATTTATATTGTTCTAGAATAATTATATGAAAAGACTGTGTATAATCAAATTATTGGATGTGAACGTATCTGTTGTTCTCAGGTTGCTCAGTACAACTTAGTGTGTAGATTGCAGTTGGTAAATTGCTATCTTCTGGCACCAAATGGGCCGTCGAACAGCACTGCGAAGTATTCCATCTCTGGAGAGCTGTTTGCAGTGATGAATCTTGAAAAAGATGTTTCGGAAGATACGACGTCAGG